AAAGGTATGGGACAGGCAAGGGGAGAGCTTGAGAGGAGATGGGAGAATAGTTTGGGTTGGCTCCTGATATTACTGCCATGGCCTAATGTAGATTGCAAGATGTGTTTGGTTAAATTCCACACAGGGGTACGCGGCAGAATAAAAGCAGGGAGTAAAGATAAAATATACAAATCTTATCTGCTAGGAATAAAAGATTACAAATTCCATTTATAAACATAAAAATAGTTGAAAGAGTGGGCTGTGTTTGAATCCACAATAGGAAGATAGAAAGCTGCACAGGCCTTTCATGTTTTATTTTTGCTTTAGCACATTTTTTCCCAACATTACCAGTATTAGGAAGAGAAAATGAGGCTACATCCCAAAACCGCTTGAGAAAATAGATAAAATTATCCACTTATATCTTTCGTTTCTCCAGGGTTTGTAGAAACTTGTAAAGAAGCAGCTTACCTCACATGAACAGATGCAGAGATACATTTTTATTTGCCTTTACAGCAGTTACCCCCAGTTGCTGTACAAGATTATTTAGGACATTCTGCAAAGAAAGTGATGAAGAAAGTCAAGCCTAAATAAACAAACCATTTTATGAAATGCCTTCTGCTTTCATGGCTAATAGCTCTGCTTTTCAGTTCTATTAAAGATTAAAGTAACTTTCTGCCTCCATAAAATCATGATGAGATATGAATATTTAGTAACTGGAATGGTTCTCTGACTTATTCTGTATTTGTACTGATTGTGAATAACTCGGGCCATTTACCAAAAAAATTACATTCCTTTCACATTTGTCCTCGACTGTGGAAGAATTTCTCCTGAGCAGGATGGCTTTAAGCCCTGTTTTAATACAAAACTGTCTATCTCATATATTGTGATATCAATCCTGTGCTGTGTTAATCCCCAGGGCACTACTGGACACTGCAGAGGGGTTTCTTTTTGCATCTGCCTGTGAAAGCAACTGAATTTTATCTCCCAGCCTTTCTGAATTTTGACTCATCTTCATCAACTCTTTGGTGGATCTGCTGACTCACTTTACTTTCTTTTAAGTCTTTTTGGCTGTTTGGCCAGGGGGTGGATGTCTGCTGTGATTACTGTTCTTTTTATTGGGTCTGCCAAGAAAAGTGCTGGTGCCAGCGGGAAGCCCCCTGTGTGACAGAGAGCAGAGCAGGAAGCTGCTGGAAACTCCTTCTATTGCCCAAACCAGGCAGCTTGTGACAAGTGACATTTCCTAGACTTGCTTGGGTGGCTCCTCCACAGGCTGATGACTCTGAGGCTGATGGTGAGCATGGGGCTTTTCTGTCCTTCAGTCTTTAGTGTAAACTGACATCTGCTGGTAATGACATGTTGGGGTGTAAAACAATTTTAATTTGGGGATCCTGAAACTATCTATTTACTTTTATTAGCAAAAGCAGGATTTTTTTTCTCAGTGGACATTACTTTTATCTGTTTTAATAATTACCAGACATGGAGCAACCGAGGTCTGCTATCACAGTCTGAAATTTCTGAGTTTTTCCTTAGCCTTGTCCTTTCCTATATGCACCCATGTTGTCCTTGAACAAATGCTGATGCTAAATCTGTATGGGAAGACTGAAAATTAAAATGAGTGCTGCCTGGTAACTCTTGTGAAAAACATTTTGAACCTCCTAAGCCCCAAATGGGTCAAATATCTTGGTGCATAGATGTGCTACTGCTTGTTTTGAGCTTCTGTAGAAGGACAGAGGCCAACAGTGCTCCTAATTAATTATTTCAAGTTGCTTGTGGGCACACATAATATTGTTCCAATTTTTTTTAATCAAAAAGAAAACACTGATTTTTTTATCTTTTTTTTTTCTTTTTTTTTTTTTTTTTTTTTCCCTAAAAGGGGTCTATTCTAAGAGGGTGACTGCCAGCCTTGAAAGTCTGGCCTTCTGAGAGCTGACAGAATTTCCTGTAGGAGTTGCCTTTATAAAAGCTGTTTTCTATCAGGTTTTTATGTTGCTTTTCCTTTTTTTCAATTCTTCTCTTTGTTCTTAGTCTCTCCCCACTTTTTCTCAATCATTTAACCCAATCTGTATGTCAAAAAAGAACTGAAGTAAGAACATACCCATTTCAACAGCTAACTTACACTAATAATTAACTTACAGTCAATACGTGTGTCTGAGCCCAGCAACAGTCATGAACCTTATCCACAAATACTCTTATTTTACAGCTCTTTAACTGTAGGTGTCCTATCAAATCCAGGCCACTGCTGCCACACAGGATGACTCACTCTGCATCAGGGGTGTTGCCAGCTGTAACAATTTATTTACCAATATATTTTTATTATTATTCACTCTGTAAGCATTGCAAAGTCACAGAAGTTCTCTAGGTCCTATGCCTTTAAGGTGCAGTTATTTTACATTAGTATGCTTTTTTCCTGTGTTGGGAAGAAAATGGGTTTAAGGGGAATATGTCACAATGCTTTGATGGATTATTTCAGTAGGTAAAAAAGGAAAAGGAAAACGCAAATAATGTCTTCACAGGGATATGAGATTTAATTCTGGTTTCAGTTAAATGAGTGTAGGTTTACTGAATGATATATAACTGCATCACTTGATCTGTCAGAGTGTTTTAAGGTGAAATTGCATTAAGAGCATGGACTGCATTTTGATGTCAAATATTAAATATCAGCAAATATCTCTTTGTGAGGATTTATTACAATCAGTACCATTAAAATGTCAGGGAGGACTTCAAATAAACTGTGGAGCATGGTCCTATATAGGCACTTTAAAATGTTGGAAACCAAATAGTTAAAAAACTCAAGTAAGTTATTTGTTTAAGTACTAAGACTATCTTTAAACCAAAGAATGTTGTGTGAAGCTGAATTTTTTCCTTTATCTATGGGAACCTTCTGCATATGGACAGATGATCTCATTGCATCACTGATAGGGATTTGTGGCAACACCCTTTGATCCTGCTTGGAGTCCCTGCCTCCTTCTCACCTCTGTCCTAATCCTTCCCTTCTTCACATCTGCTGTTCCACATGCCTTCCTTGGTGCCTGTCCTCTGTGCCCACTCCAGCTGCAGGCACCAGCCAGGCTGTTGCTGAACCCGAGGAGCTCCATCAGCCCGTTGTTTTCAGAGCTCCTGCCCTGATGGCATCAGCTCAGCGCTGCTTTCACAACACACAGCTTGTTTTCAGAAAAGGAGGAAAAGTGGGGGAAGCAGCGGAAATCCAACTTTCCACTGGAGATGTGTCATCCCAGCCTGAACAATAGCGAGGCAGCAGTGACTCTGCGCTGCTCTGCGTCCCTTCTGCGGGTGCTGGGGGTGCCAGGGGAGCCCTCAGCGCAGACATTCTCACCACAGCTCTGTGAGAAAGAGCAATCACCACTGATGTGTAATAACAGCCACACATGTGAACACAGCATCCCTCAGCAGCAGGATAATTCCCAGGCGTGCTGACCAGTATGTGCTGTGCAGACCTTGTGAACAGTCCGGCTCAGGCTCTTAATTCAAGGACTTCTGTAGGATACACGTGTTTACTTTAAAACAACTATGTGCATTTTTTCCCAGAACAGACTGTATTTTTTCAGTTCTTTCAGCCACAGGCTGCATTCAGGCTTTCTCGGGATATAACCGAGTTTACAAGGCCTTTCTTCCCCTATCAATTTTTTCTCAAGGAGTAGTTTCCTGTTTACTGGGAAGGCTTCTGGAGGGACTTTTCTCCTGTAAAAGCAGTTTTATAGATTCACAGAATGGCTTGGGTTGGAAGAGACCTTTTAAGGGTCATCAAGTCTAACTTCCTGCCATGGGCAGAGACATTTTGGCTTTACATGATTTCTGGATTTTACACAACATTTACACAATTCCTCAACCTGAAAAGTTGAGGTGAGATCTTAGGATAGCTAAAACCCGTAATGCAGTCTACAGCCAAATCTGACAGAGCTGATGCCTCTAAGCAACAGAGAGATCTGGGTTATGGTAGGGAAATAACCAAAAGTTCATTAAAAATTACAGTAGCTGAGGTAGGTCCCCTCAGATCTGCTTAGGACCATGTCCTTGGATGGCACAAACCATCCAGGCTTGGCATAGCTTAGCTGGGAACACACAACCGTTTTTTTCGCATTTCTCAAGAAGCTTTTTTTCCTCAATGAAAAGCATTTAAATGAAAAAAGGACCTAGTGGTGGTGGTGGACAGCTGGCTGAACATGAGACAGTGTGTGCCTAGGTGGGCGAGAAGGCCAGCGGCCCCTGGAATCCGCCAGTGTGGCCAGCAGAGCCAGGGAAGCGATTCCTCCCCTGCAGCCGGCACTGCTGAGGTGCCCTGAGGGCTGTGTCCACTTTCGGGCCCCTCCGTTCAGGAAGGACACTGAGGGGCTGGAGCGTGCCCAGGGAAGGGAACAGAGCTGGGGAAGGGTCTGGGGCACCAGGAGCAGCTGAAGGAGGTGGTGGGGCTCAGTCTGGAGAAAAGGAGGCTCGGAGGGACCTTGTGGTTCTGCTCCCTGACAGGAGGGGACAGCCGGGGGTGTCGGTGTCTTACCCCGGTAAACAAGTGACAGACAAGAGGAATAGTCCTAAGCTGAGCAGGGTTCAGGTTGAACATTAGGGAGAATTTCTTCATAGAAAGGGGGATTAGACAGCGGAAGGGACTGCTCAGGGAGGTGTTGGAGTTCCCATCTCTGGAAGTGCCCAAATAACAACTGGATGCGGTGTTCACGGCTGTGGTCTGGTTACCAAGGCAGGGATCGCTGAAAGGTTGCACTCGACGATGCTGGAGACATTTTCCAACCGGAGTGATCCTGTGACTGTGTAAAGGGCGCAGACCGCGGGGTGTGCGGGTGCGGAGGCGCGGTCAGGTCCCTCACGGCGCGGTCAGGCCCCTCACTCCGCGGTGAGTCCAGGCAGGAACGCGGCCGCTGCCGGAGCGGGCCCACGCCGCCATCGCCGCTTTAAGCCGGCGCATTCCGCGGGGCGGGGCAGCCCCGGCCCGCACGCTGCGGGACTCCGCTCCCGGCCTGCTCCGCGCCCGCCCCGCCTCGCCGCGCCCCGCCGGGCCTCGCCCGTCTCAGCCCGCGGCCGGCGCGGAGCGGTGGCACCCGGCGAGCGAGCGAGACCCTGCGTGCCCTCGCTGGCTGCCGCAGCCCCGCCATGGGGGCCGGCGGCGAGCGCTGGGCGCTGTGGCTGTGGGTGCTGTGGCTGTGGGTGCCCGCGCGGTGCGGCGCTGCCATGGACGAGTGCGCGGAGGAGCGGAGCGGGCGGGCGCAGCGCTGCATGCCCGAGTTCGTGAACGCGGCGTTCAACGCGACGGTGCTGGCCACGCACACGTGCGGGACGCCGGCCGAGGAGTACTGCGTGCAGACCGGGGTCACCGGCGTCACCCAGTCCTGCCACCTCTGCGACGCCGCCCAGCCGCACCTGAGCCATGGCGCCGCCTTCCTCACCGACTACAACAGCCCGGCCGACGCGACCTGGTGGCAGAGCCGCACCATGCTGGCCGGCGTGCAGCACCCCACCGCCGTCAACCTCACCCTGCACCTCGGTAAGGACGGGCAGCGGGAGGGGGCCGGGGCACCGAGGGGGAGCTCCCGGCAGCAGCGCAGGCCGCGGTGACCCGCTGCAGAGCAGCTCTGCGAGCAGGAGCTGGGAGTCCCGGTGGACAACGAGCGCCCACGGGCATGCCCTGTGCGCAGCGGTGTCCCCGGGTGCCTTAGGACCAACACAGTCAGCTCTTCCAGGGCGGATCCTGCCTCTGTCCTCAGGCCTAGTGAGGCACATCTGGAATGCTGTGGCCAAGTCTGGGCTCCTTAGGACCTGGAGCAGGTCTAGCAGAGGCTGTGGAGATGATGGAGGGACTCGAGCATCTCTTTCTCGAGGTAGGAGTGTTCAGCTTAGAGAGGAGCCCTGTCTGTCCCTGTCTGCAGGGAGGGCTCAGAGGCTGGGCACAGCATACTGCTCCCTGGGACCCAGCAATGGGACAAGAGACCATGGGCAGAAATGGATGCCCAAGAAGTTCCACCTGAACATGATGATGAACTTCTTTCCTGTGCAGTGACTGAGCACTGGAACAGAGACCAGAGAGGGTGTGGAGTCTCTCACTTGGAGGTATTCCAGACCTGTCAAGACACAATCCTGTGCCACGTGCTCTGGGATGACCCTGCTTGAGCAGGGAGGTGGGACCCAGTGACCCACTGTGGTCCCTTCCAGCCTGCCCCATTCTGTGGTTCTGTGCTGAAAGGCCATCTGCACACCGGGCATTGCTGGGGCCCTGCCTGGGTGAGTGCCAATAACCAGGCCCTGGGTGGTCTGGTGTTCAGGGCATGTCATCAAATCCCTGCTCTGCAGATCCTCAGCCGTGTTCACCAGGTCTAAATGAATGCTGGCTGCGCCCCATGGTTGTGTTGGGATGTCCTCAGCTAAGGGTCTGCCCCTGCGCTGGTTCTTCACACCTCAGCTGATAGCTTGCTCACATTTGCTCAACAGTGCTCGGTAAACTTGATTTTCAGCATTCTCCAGTGAATATTGCAGGGTTGCTCCTGCAGTCTGCATCGGCGGTGCTGTTGGTTTGTGAGAGGAGAGGCCATGCTGCCAGAGGCAGCTGGATGTGCAGCAGGTTGCAGTGATCACATCCCACTCCTTGCACTGGGAATCATACAGCCATTTAGGTTGGAAAAATAGTAGAAATAAATTGTTCCTTGTGAGGCTGGTGAGGTTCTGGCACAGAGAAGCTGTGGATGCCCCATCCCTGGAAGTGTCCAAGGCCAGGTTGGATGGGGATGGGTTTTGGAGCGACATGGTCTAGTGCAAGGTGTCCCTGCCCATGGCAGGGAGTGGAATGAGATAAGCCTAAAGTCCCTTTCAACTCAAGCCATTGTAGGATTCTGTGAAAAGACCTTTAAGATCAAGTCCAACTGGTAACCCAATGCAGCCGAGCTCAGGATTGGATCATGGAGTTTTCCAGACAACAAGCTTTGGATGCAGGTGGGAGATGTTGGTTTGAAAAGTGACAGGCACTGTGGGAAATCACATGTGCAAGGGCACATCTGCTGTATATCCTCTTACCCCCGGGGCAGCATTGCCCTTTAATTGCTGGGTGCATTAGACGTGTCAACAGCTGCTGAACTGTAACAGCCAGTCAAAAAAAGAAGGTGAATTTTCTGATTGGTTGTCAATTCCCAATTTCTTTGGGGTGAAGTATTTTAGCCTTCACTTTGGTTTGTGGACAAGCTTTTATTTCTGTTCATTCAGTTATTCTAGCTATCATGACATGTAGGAAGGGTAATCATTTAAGAACTGGAAGACAAGCCAGCTGAGAGAAAGTTGAAACCACAACTTATTATCCTCATGTCATTAAATCAAGTAAATATTAAAGAAAGCCCCACTGTAGCCATTCACATCTTCTAATCAAGAGCAGCTGTTGAGCATTAAGTTTAGTATCAATAACAGTCTAATTCAGGGGAAAAATGGTGTTAGGGCTCGGAGAGGTGGATCTTGTGAGAGCTTGTACCTGCATTGGTGAGATGTAGTTGATGGCACAGAGTCCTGTACCAGGGGTCACCTGATGAGCACATCCATGTGCCCCAGAAGCCTCTCTGCCCTAAAGTGTTTCTTTGTGTTTGGAGCTACAACATAAACATACCACATAAGCTTATCTAATAGTCCCTCTTTATTTTCTTTTCTTTGTACATTAGGAATTTTTTTTTCCAAAACTCCTGGAAAGCAAAGATTTAATCTCAACTTCTTTTTTAATAACAGTCATTGTAGTTCTCATTATCAAGGCAAGACTTACAGACCCATCTGTAATCCTGCTGTCCTTGGTTTTGTGTATTCATATATATATATGGGTGTTCTTTGAAAAACTGGTACTGGGAGCAGAGTTCTGTGTCCTGGGCTTTGAAGAAACGCACACATTTTGCTGAAAACATCTGCATCTTCAAAATAACTGTAGCACTGCAGCACTTTCACTTGTGTTCCAGGTTTGTTTGCAGGCTCTGGGAGCTTTGGGAATTTGCTTTGCCATGTTTTTTGAGTAGAGTACAACTTTAAAGCAGAAACTGCCTGATCGACTTTGATATATTCAAGGGTTTTTTTTTTTGTCTGATTTTTCCTAGTTAGGTTTTTGGGTGGGGTATTTTTAGTATAAAGGCTTTTAAGAATCAGAAGCACAGTGGTGGTGAAGTTGGTTTTAAGATGACAGCAGCAAAGCATTTATCTCTCTGCACTCACGCTGTGTGATTCTCTGTGTTGCTGAGTTTGTGGCAGGTTGAAGAACTGTTGAGTACTGACAGTGCCTTTTTAGCCTGAAATGGCCCAAACTTCTCTGCAGCATTGCTCTTCCCTACTTTTGTGAGGTCTTAAAACCATCTTTGAGTGAGCTGCTGGGTGCTGCCTTTGGGATTTGTGTGCCCGCAGGCACTGTGGTCTGTGGGACACTTAATTATTGACATCACTAAGAGAAAGAGGCAAAGAGCTTGACAAGTACTTATGCACTCGATAGGACATAAAGGCATTCTGGGGCACAAAGCCCTTTCATGCAGTTAGTTCTGCTTGGTCTTTGAGGATTAAGCTCTGTGCTCAGACCTGTATCCTTATTTAATGCTGCAATTGCCTTAATTTCTGAAAGTGTTGGTGGCCTGAATGTTTGATGCTGTTTTGCACCTGGTCAGGACCAGCTGCACTGACACTAGGTTACATGTACATGCTGCCCTGTGCTGAGTTTTTTGGCAGTTTGAGATGTCTCGATTAACATCCAGAGATGTTCAGTCCGTGTAGAACAGCATTAACATTTTAGAGGGGCCTGCAAAAAGGTCAGTAAGAACTGCAGGTCTGTTGCCAACATGTGAATGTGGATTTCTTTGAATCTCCTTACAATGTGCAGTTCAAAACAAGTTTAAAAACCTTTCGTTTTGGGATTAGGTGCCAGCACAAAGCCTGATACAGAAAAACACAGCACAGATCGCTACTACTGAATTAAAGGCTCAGATCCTGGGAGGGTTTGGAGATAACATCTGTGTCCAGAAGTTAGGGTGCTTGCTCCCTGGGGAGAGGGGAATTGGGGTAATTACCACTCCCTGCACCAGGAACATCTGGAGTTCTAAAGGCTATTTCTCTTTGTACAGAGGATATTAAGACCCAGTAAGTAAGAGGCCTGGAGACATGAATTTGCACGGGTGTTTCAGGAGATGGGGGAGCTGAACCTGTTCACAGGGTGGTGTCTGGATAATTAGGTCAGTGAGTGAGAGGAGGGAAGAGCATTGCTGTGTCCTTTTTTCCACATTACTTAAAAGTGTCTCTTGGCTTCCCCATTTTCCATTTCCTCAGAATTTATTACTTATTTAGACTTGACCCAGCCAGTCTTTTTTTTTTTTTTTCTTACTGCTCTCCCACTATGCTCCCATATATTCCCAAAAAAAGGAACTTTGAGGCAGTGGTGCCAGCTTTCCAATAGAAGATGGAAGCCAAGGCCCTACAGTGCGTTGTCTGCTTTGTTTTTGAAGCCAGGGTGTCACGTTATTTTTACTGTCAGTGCAGTTTGCTTGTCCTGGGAGCACTGGGATAGTTCTGGCACCTCCCCAGTGCTTTGTGTGCATATGCTTGAGCACAGCGTTGCTGTAGACCCCTGACACACAGAGACAATACCCTGTGTTGAAGATGCTCCCTTGAACATTGGAAGAAGGGGAAAAAAGACAGCATGGAGGTACATGGAGTATTTTTGTTACTGGGTGCTCTTGTTGGGACAAAGGTTTGTATTTTTTCAGATGTCATACTATTTTTCAGAGAAGATTCACACTCTTTCCTTCTGCAGCTCTTACTTCTGTGTGCTTTCTGTTGTTTCTACACTTTTTTTTATCCACTTCTACGTATACCTTTGTGTTCCCTTCCCAACCAGCTCTGCTAGAGCCACCTCTCATTTTTCCCCACCACTTTTACTTTCTGGCCAGATTTGCTTGATTTCAGTATTGTGATTTGTGACTATCCCAGTGTTTTGTTCCTTGGACAAAGAGGAAGCCGCCTCACATGCTGGTGGCTGTTCCATGGTGAGGTGACTCTGTCTCCACTGAGAGCAGCCGTGCTTTTATCAGCAGCCTGCGAGCTCAGAGCGGTCCAGTTCCTGGGGCAGGTGACTGTCCACTGCATCTCAGCATCTCAGCAGGGATGGTGTCCACATGTGCGTGACAGATGATGCTGGTGGGCTCAGCTATGAATTCAGGACTATCTAGAAGGCAGAAAAGATCAATTCCTTCCTCTTCTGTCATTGCCTCAGAAGAGGAGATTGTTGCCTGCTGGAAGCAGCCCTCTGGTAGGCTGCCTTTCAAGAAGAAAGACGAAATTGCTGGTTGCCTTGGTTAAAAACGTGTTGGCTCCTGAAATGCTTACAACAGACCAGCCTGGAAACTCAGGTCACCACGCTGGATGGTGTCATATATATAAAGAAAAACTTGTGAATGCTGTTGCTTGCTAAAGAAATGAATTACCCATCTGCTTCACCTCCCCCTTTTCTACCCGCTCAGTCCTTTATTTGGCTCTGAGGAGAGCGAGGAT